CAACAATGATATTTTTAGTAAAAGTGACGTTTTTTGCATTTTTCACATATGAACGGCACTTTTACCAACGATATTATTGTTGTAATACAAGTTACCATTTTTAAACACTAATATTTGTGTTCAGCAAAGTCTCTTGAGTAAAACAGTACCCCCCATGTACAGGTTTTATGGTGTTTTGGAAAGTTAGAGAGTCAAATATAAGGCTTGCATTTCATTTTTTTCACATTAAAATTTGCCAGATTGGTTATGTTGCCTTTTGAGACCGTATGGTAGCCCAGGAATAAGAATTACCTCCATGACGACATACCATTTGCAAAAGTAGACAACCCAAGGTATTGAAAATGGGGTATGTCCAGTCATTTTTAGTAGTCACTTAGTTACAAACACTGGCCAAATATTAGTTTTTTGCTTTTTTTCACACAAAAACAAATATGAACGCTAATTTTGGCCAGTGTTTGTGACTAAGTGGCTACTACAAAATACTCCACTTGCAATACCTTGGGTAGTCTACTTTTGCAAATGGTATGCCATCATGGGGGTAAATCTCATTCCTGGGCTACCACACGGTCTCAAATGTAACATTACTAATCTGGCAAATTTCAATGTGAAAAAAATGAAAAATGGAATGTGCTATACTTGACCCTTTAACTTTCCAAAACACTGTAAAAGCTGTTAATGGGGGGTACTGTTGTACTCGTGAGACTTTGCTGAATCCAAAAATGTGCTTTTTTTTGCAGTAAAAGCCAACAGTATTATGACATTTACAGCTAAAATGTGAGGTGAAACTACAATTTTATTTTTATTTTTTTAAATCTCGTTTTTTTTTTATTTTATTCATAATAAATTATGTTTCATATAAAATGAAAACCGTTTCTCCTGAACAAAATGATATATAATAAGTGTGGGTGCATATAATATGAAATAGGTGAATTACGGTTGAACAGACATATAGCGCAAATTCCAGTTTTTGTTTACATTTTGTTTTGATCAGAACGTTGACGCCGTCCTTAAGGGGTTAATCAGATAGATTAGGTTTTCAAAATCAACACTGCACAGTGTGTTACATTAAAACCTTCATTAATAATCATAATGTAGGCACTCACTGCTAGAGTCAGAGGATCAGTAATTTTATTTTAGAAAGTCTGGTCACATTGCTAGTATTATGTTTGATTGCGGTAACTAGAGGTATAGAGGTTTTTTTTCCTCTTTCCTGTGTTTATTATTATTTTCTTATTTTCACCTGTAAAATGGGACTGTGTGTCTTTGGCTTTGTCAATTGGCCTTGCAGCCTTCTTTATCAATGCCTCTCTATGAGGAATGTTTAGTGTCTACATGCACAGCATGTGCTGACCCAGGAAAAACCTTGTATGGCTGTCTGAGTGACTGTTACAAGAGGTGTTCCTAGGCTAGTGATAAGCAACCTATGGCCATGCTTGGTACTCGTGTTGCCTTTGCACGACACTCCAGGCTTAGTTTGAGTCCCAGTTGGACTTCAGATATCTGCTAGTGCAACCTGAGTGGTGATTGAAGGGGGTTGAGGGACAATCCTCAATTTACGCATTGCAGCACTTAAAAGAAGGGACCTCAGATTTCTACCTTTCAGCACTTGTGAATGGGCATCCACACTTGAGTAGAGCTGCCTGCAGCATCTATCACAGTTCCTGACCTTGACCTGTATCTGGCCAGCCTGGTTCACTGCACCCCAGGAGAACCATGCACACTGCCAGATATACACAGAGCTGCAGAATAAGCCTCCCCCTCATCCAAATAATTCAAACAGCCCACACACAACCTGACAAGCAGCCCCACACATACACACAATACTGCAAACTACTCATGAACATATACAAGGCAGCAGACACCAGAATAACAAAATTCAGCTATATGCAACCTTCGGCACACCAGATGTTTTGGACTACACCTCCCATGATTCTTTGCCAGCATTATGGGTTTAAGAGCATTAAGGGCATCCGCGGGAGGGGCCGGGGGGCACTTGCTCCCTCCCCCTGGATTTTTCAATTTGTGCTGGAGTTTTTCCTTTGAGAGTGAAAATACAATGCAATATTGGCGCCGGCCAGTAGGTGGCGCTGTGTGTGGAGAGAGGCATGGCTAGGATCTATACATCTTAGCCCTGCTTCTCTCTCCTGACTGAATCCGCAGGGGAACAGCACAAAGTGCAGCCAGAAACTCACAGACTGCAGAGACTGCCTACAGATTAGGTAAGTGAGGCATGGGTGGCAGCATAAGATCAGGTAAGTGAGGAATGACAAGCCTATAGTCTTTCTAGCAGGTCATATCAAACTTCTCTCTCTTATCCTAGCCTTTAATAAACTTATGACCATATCCTAGTATTTGAAAAATATGTCATATTGAACCTATTGCAGGGAAGGTATCCTTGGTGTGCATTCAACAGTCTGTGTGTGCATGCATTCAGTAGTCTGTGTGTATGTTCTAATGGATGCTGAGACAGCCTCTGTTAGAGGGCCCTTTATTATTATTATTATTATTACTGGCATTTATAAGGTGCAGGAAGTGGTGTGGGTGCATTATGGTGCTATAGCTAGTGCTGAGAGAGTCTCCTAGTACTGTGGCAACTGTTGTGGATGCTACTTAATGCTATGGCAGTAGCTTTTGTGTGCAGTCATTTTTATAATTCAGTTATTGTGCCTTTATCATGGGTGTATGACTAATGTGGTGCATTAAATAGTGTTAAGCTTTTGCATCAGGTTTCTATCCCAGAGCTACAGTTATTCTGGTGAATAGTGTCCCTTAAAAAATTAAAAATAAATTTTATATATATATATATATATATATATATATATATATATATATATATATAAATACAATGCTAAACAAAAATCTGCACACCAGTCAAGCCATAAGACTTGCTTTTCCCACAGAAATCCCAAATCAGCAGTGATGTTACAACCGCAAAGGATTCTGGGTGGGCATATGCAAATTAGTTTAACAAAGAATCACATTTTTGCCTCATTCCATTTTAAACATGGATTCCTTTTTAATTTGTGTTTGCAGTATACAACTGCTTGGAACACAATTTAGGATAAGATGCAAAACCAGTGAACCACTCATGGACAGCTGTTTCGTTGTTAATGCAACTCTTCAGCATGAGGTTGGTTACTGGTTTGCTAATTGAGGCTTGGTAGTGCTTGGGAAGCAAAATCTAATTAGGTTATGGTGGGGAAAAATTGTGATTGAAAACCCCTTCCACCTGAATTATGTGGATAGTTAATACAATGCTAAACAAAAATCTGCACACCAGTCAAGCCATAAGACTTGCTTTTCCCACAGAAATCCCATAACTGCAGCGATGTTACAACCGCAAAGGATTCTGGGTGGGCATATGCAAATTAGTTTAACAAAGAATCACATTTTTGCCTCATTCCATTTTAAACATGGATTCCTTTTAATTTGTGTTTGCAGTATACAGCTGCTTGGAACACAATTTAGGATAAGATGCAAAACCAGTGAACCACTCATGGACAGCTGTTTCGTTGTTAATGCAACTCTTCAGCATGAGGTTGGTTACTGGTTTGCTAATTGAGGCTTGGTAGTGCTTGGGAAGCAAAATCTAATTAGGTTATGGTGGGGAAAAATTGTGATTGAAAACCCCTTCCACCTGAAGTTATGTGGATAGTTAATACAATGCTAAACAAAAATCTGCACACCAGTCAAGCCATAAGACTTGCTTTTCCCACAGAAATCCCAAATCAGCAGTGATGTTACAACCGCCAAGGATTCTGGGTGGGCATATGCAAATTAGTTTAACAAAGAATCACATTTTTGCCTCATTCCATTTTAAACATGGATTCCTTTTAATTTGTGTTTGCAGTATACAACTGCTTGGAACACAATTTAGGATAAGATGCAAAACCAGTGAACCACTCATGGACAGCTGTTTCGTTGTTAATGCAACTCTTCAGCATGAGGTTGGTTACTGGTTTGCTTAGTAAGGCTTGGTAGTGCTTGGGAAGCAAAATTCAATTAGGTTATGGTGGGGAAAATTGTGATTGAAAACCCCTTCCACCTGAAGTATGTGGATAGTTAATACAATGCTAAACAAAAATCTGCACACCAGTCAAGCCATAAGACTTGCTTTTCCCACAGAAATCCCAAATCAGCAGTGATGTTACAACCGCAAAGGATTCTGGGTGGGCATATGCAAATTAGTTTAACAAAGATATATATATATATATTACTTTGGCCAGATAAAGGATTTTATAAACTTTTTTGCAGGTTAGGGGGACAACTGCCTGACAACCCCCTGCAGGCAGATCCCTGGACAGCCTATATGGCCATGTGATTGCAATGTTATCATGGTTACATGGCCCTGAAGGTACTGATTGTCCTGAAGGTCTTAGTTTTAGTTTAAATGTTTAATAGAAATGCCAATGACGATAGTGATGGTTGGGTTTTCAATAAAGATTTCCTTATTAGAAAATTAAACCACTATTGCACACCCTAAAGAAGTGTGCTGTGCATGCCTAGTCCCTTAAGGGTTACTCCAACTGCCATGACTACTTCAGTGATTTCAAGCTGCCATAGTGCCTGGAGTCAGTATGTGCTGCTTTTTGCTGTGAAACACTTCACATACCCCATGGCTGTAAATCCACCTTTGGCAGCGTCACTAGAGCTCCGAGCTGGCTAATATCAATTCTGTGCAAATTTATTTTTTGCCCCATTACTGGGGAACCGGCCAGGTCATCATAATCACGACAGGGGCTTGGATTAACCCTTTAATGATATATTAGCAAATATAAAATCCCCAAATGAGCTCAAAGTGACTACATTTTCAACAGAGCCAAAAGAATTTCTCAATAATACTGTGCGTAAATTTAGACATTAAATAGATCTTATTGTCTTATTTAATAAAGCTAGGAAAATATGTTTACACAAATTAAATCAAGATCAATGGAAATTTAGAATTTAGGTAGTCTTAATTTCTGAAATAAGGAGCTTAAACATAAAGAGCACTCATTCTGTCAAAGATTCCCTACCAGGCTTTGTAGTTGTTGGAGAAGTTGTAAAACATCCAGCAATTTCTCCTCAATGAGCGATAACCGTACTCGTTCTGTCTCTAGCATTTGCAGATCCATTCTCAGTATCTCAAGCTCCTCCCCTTTCATTTGAAGTTCTTTTAGTAATGGGCTTTTTATCTATACCGAAGAAAAAATATACTTATTAATATGTCAATTTTTAATAAGAAGATCTAATAGAAGTAACATATGGGTCCTAAAAATATGGAACTGATTCTTGTTGCCTGAAAAATATTAGTCATATTTAAAATGATTCCATACATGTATAGTCCTTCTTGGTCAGGATTGAGGCAGATCCATCATTTTAGTTATGCTTTCTAACTAGACTAAAGCATGTATTTCTCTTGAAAAGGTACCTCATCGACCAGCATTTTATTGTTATTTGTAGTAAGGCCCTGAAAACTCCACTAACCAGATCTATTATAAATTTTCATGTAAGAGAATAAGAACCACTATTGCTGCCCAGTCACTGGTGCAATAAGGGGGAACCTGGCACAGGTTAAATCCTGCCGCATGCCCCTACCTGCGGGTGGGGACCCTAAATAAATAATGGCGGCACCCACCCATGAGCGGCGGGTGGGGACCCCAAATAAATAAGGGGGGGAACCTAATGTCCCCACCTATGAGCGGTGGGTTGGGACCCTAATTAAATAAATAATGGGGGGTACCCCAATAAAAATACCCTACCTACCCCCCTCACCCTTATAATAGTAGAGGGGGGGGGGGCAATAAACTAACCCTGTAAAATAAAATGTCATACTTACCATTTGAAGTCTTCTTTCTTTCTTTTCTTTTCTTCCTTCAGCCCACAAAAAAGCCAAATAAAAATCCATAATACGTGTCGCAACTGTAAAAAAACAAAAAATGAGCTCCGCAGGGCGGGGAATGGCTTATAAAGCCTTCCCACACCCTGCAATTAGACTTAGAGAGCTCTGATTGGTTGGTTAAACAGGTAAGTATCTACATTTACCTTTCACAGCACTCTGATTGGTTGGCTTGAAATCTAACCAATCAGAGTGCTCTGTGTCATTTTACACAGCGTGGGAAAGCTCTTTGGAATTTTCCCATGCTGTGTAATTTGACTCATATCACTGAGTGGTTGCTTTCATTTGTTTAGGCGACGTATAAAAAGTAGCTATTTAGATCTAAATAGCTACTTTTTCATATTGCAACATGGTTATAGTTTTTGCTATAACTTTTGGCTACACATAATCTTACCATAGCTCTCTTTCACTTCTACATAAGACACTGATGATTTTTATATTCAGTTTTAAATTTAGTGACCCCCATACTGATTTATATTTAGTGTTAAATGACAGCGAGCAGCAACTGGGGCATGAGGGAGCTTTTTGTAACGAAATCCCTTGTGAAACATACTACGCGAACCAGCCTCTTCGGTTATTTAGACGTGTGTGGGGTGATTTCGTGCAAATAGCAATAAAACGAATAAACTGCCGAATCACCCGACCTCCTACTGAGGTCGTGTGGCGCCCATTAACCACCCAGACTTTACGGTTACCCACAGAGTAATTGGGGAACAGCTTGGTGGTCCGCGTTCGTCTGCCGAACAAGTGGCAGTCGCCATTTTAAATCGAACGCCCAGCGGTAATGGCGGCGATGCCCTGGAACTCTTTTTCGGATACTTATTCTGCTGTACACCGCTGATACTTAAAAGGTCCTCGTTCATATGGTTGAAAACCCACGAATACCGGAGACATTGCACTGTTCAGGACTTGGATTTATGCGAAAGAGACCGACCCCAGATAGCTACAGTGTGGAACTCTTTATCTGATACAAACACGCGAACGGCCGGTGAAGTCCAAACTTCATTCGACGTTATTGAGAACTGTGTTCGTGGGATCTGAGCGCTATTCGCCTAGAATATGCACTCAGATCCAAGCTATCTGGGGGTATGTGGGACTTACAGGGAGTGCAGAATTATTAGGCAAGTTGTATTTTTGAGGATTCATTTTATTATTGAGCAACAACCATGTTCTCAATGAACCCAAAAAACTCATTAATATCAAAGCTGAATATTTTTGGAAGTAGTTTTTAGTTTGTTTTTAGTTTTAGCTATGTTAGGGGGATATCTGTGTGTGCAGGTGACTACTACTGTGCATAATTATTAGGCAACTTAACAAAAAACAAATATATACCCATTTCAATTATTTATTATTACCAGTGAAACCAATATAACATCTCAACATTCACAAATATACATTTCTGACATTCAAAACAAAACAAAAACAAATCAGTGACCAATATAGCCACCTTTCTTTGCAAGGACACTCAAAAGCCTGCCATCCATGGATTCTGTCAATGTTTTGATCTGTTCACCATCAACATTGCGTGCAGCAGCAACCACAGCCTCCCAGACACTGTTCAGAGAGGTGTACTGTTTTCCCTCCTTGTAAATCTCACATTTGATGATGGACCACAGGTTCTCAATGGGGTTCAGATCAGGTGAACAAGGAGGCCATGTCATTAGATTTTCTTCTTTTATACCCTTTCTTGCCAGCCACGCTGTGGAGTACTTGGACGCGTGTGATGGAGCATTGTCCTGCATGAAAATCATGTTTTTCTTGAAGGATGCAGACTTCTTCCTGTACCACTGCTTGAAGAAGGTGTCTTCCAGGAACTGGCAGTAGGACTGGGAGTTGAGCTTGACTCCATCCTCAACCCGAAAAGGCCCCACAAGCTCATCTTTGATGATACCAGCCCAAACCAGTACTCCACCTCCACCTTGCTGGCGTCTGAGTCGGACTGGAGCTCTCTGCCCTTTACCAATCCAGCCACGGGCCCATCCATCTGGCCCATCAAGACTCACTCTCATTTCATCAGTCCATAAAACCTTAGAAAAAATCAGTCTTGAGATATTTCTTGGCCCAGTCTTGACGTTTCAGCTTGTGTGTCTTGTTCAGTGGTGGTCGTCTTTCAGCCTTTCTTACCTTGGCCATGTCTCTGAGTATTGCACACCTTGTGCTTTTGGGCACTCCAGTGATGTTGCAGCTCTGAAATATGGCCAAACTGGTGGCAAGTGGCATCGTGGCAGCTGCACGCTTGACTTTTCTCAGTTCATGGGCAGTTATTTTGCGCCTTGGTTTTTCCACACGCTTCTTGCGACCCTGTTGACTATTTTGAATGAAACGCTTGATTGTTCGATGATCACGCTTCAGAAGCTTTGCAATTTTAAGAGTGCTGCATCCCTCTGCAAGATATCTCACTATTTTGACTTTTCTGAGCCTGTCAAGTCCTTCTTTTGACCCATTTTGCCAAAGGAAAGGAAGTTGCCTAATAATTATGCACACCTGATATAGGGTGTTGATGTCATTAGACCACACCCCTTCTCATTACAGAGATGCACATCACCTAATATGCTTAATTGGTAGTAGGCTTTCGAGCCTATACAGCTTGGAGTAAGACAACATGCATAAAGAGGATGATGTGGTCAAAATACTCATTTGCCTAATAATTCTGCACTCCCTGTAAAGTTTATGTTCAGTAAAATATAAGTTATAGATTTTTATGCTGTTTTGTGAATATTGGAAAAGCCATGTTTCTTTCTACCTGGAGATAATTAAGGCTCTCTTTACTACCTTAAGTTAATTATCTCCAGGATGGAAAGGAGGGAGTGACCTATGTAAAAGGAGAGTGCTTATGTTATAGCCACTGCGATTGGCTACTGTAATTCTTTTGTCCCAGTCTTCCATCTAGTCCCCTAGGGGAGTGTCCACCAGGTGGGAGACCTGCATAAATACCGGGCAGGTAGCCCCCATTAAATCAGTTAGTTTTACCCTTCATGAAGTCTCGACTCATGTTTGGGGGATTGGAAGCTATAATCACTCTGTTTCAGCGGGATTTCGGGAGAAGCTACAAGGATCAGCACTGCACGAATAGAAGGATCCTTTACAATTTTAATCTCTCTTTTATTAATATGGGTGTCATAGTGACTCCCATAGGTTTTAATAAGGGAGGGGGCAATAATAGTTATTTATTACAAGGAGGGAGCTGGTAGCGCTGTCGGGTCCCTCCTTGTTTTTCTTCCAGTGCATGCGCACTGTTATTTTTCCATGCTTAATGGTTAATTCCCCTGCAGCAAGGAGTCTATTAAACAAAGGAAACAAAATGAAAAGGTAATGCATTCGGCATTTGTCCTTTCCTTTCCTTTTGTTTATATTTCGTTTGTAGGGCTTTTATTTATGTTTTAGTAAACAAATAAAAAAAAAACAGACTTTTCTGATGAAATCATATTCGTACAAAAACTAATGCACATGTCTAAAACTCATAGTCAGGACGAGATAGTTCAGGTAAACATTAGGGCAACAGAATAACGGAGTCAAAACTAACCAGGTCAGGTATACCAGAATCAGAAACAGTCAGGAAGGCACATAGGGGTTATGAACCATAAAAGGGCACCAAGCTAATGATGAAAAAAGGTCATATAGGGCCAGGCCCTAGTGTCACATTTACATGGAGATAGAAAAAGGCACAAAGGTCACAGCTCGCATCAGTTGTGTTGGTTGGGATTCAGGATTATGTGACTGCCAGCTAGTACTGATGTTATTGTGTCAAGTTTGCCATGTTTTGTTTTACAAGACTGATGCTGGTGTCATTTTCTGTGAGTAACATTATATTACCCCCTCTAAAGAACTGCCCACTGCATCTGTTTATCACATCTGCAGCATCCATTACCTTTCCTCTGGACCATAGTCTCTCCCATGAATTAGATATTGCAATCTTCCTCTAGCAATATGTGAATCTACTACCTGTTGTAACTCATATTCCTCATGGTCATTAACAATAACTGAAGCAGGTGTGGAAGAGCATTTGTGCGGCTAGCTCCACAATTTTCGTATATTGATCCGAAACCTTCCTCAACAACCTCGATGAACTTTCCAGGGCTTATGGGCATAGATTAAGAAAAAGCTGGACCACTTCACCCTGCTCCAAAAGAGACAAGTGGACTGTATTTGTAGAGTGGCACCTTGTAAACTTGAAACCTTATTCTCTGGGCTGTGTCTCTCAAAGTGGCTTCCCTTGTTGTATTATCTGTAGGATAAACTTTGAACCTGCCACATCCCTAACACATTTAAAGTTTCTCTTTATCCATTAACATGTAACTGCTACTCTTTAACACCTCCAATACCAGTTTCAGTTGTTGTTGAAAGGAAGACAGCCACTAGAGGTGTCTACTAAACGGCAATGCTTTACATTGCGGGATTAAAACTAAAGGGTCACCACAACAAGTCCATTACATTGAGTTCAAATGGTCTGGGTTCCTCTTTGTTGGATTGGAACATTTAAAAACAAATTATTTACCAAATAATAATAATAGGCAAAAAAAAACTTAAAAAAATAAGTTACCAAATAATGAAGTTACAGTTACATAGTTATATGGCTGAAAAGAGACAAGGCAGAGGGGACAATACCTGCCTGGAAGAAGAGAGTTGCATCCAACTTAAGCTTCAGCCACTGGGTCTGAAGTGCTCCAGGGTTCCTGATAGCAGTTAGGAAGTGGACCTGGTGGAGGTAATCAACTGGAGTATGGGAGCTTTGTCACTGGTTATCTTTATAATACCTTAAATTTACTTACTATACTTTTTTCAGTTTGTTGCACCGGAACATTTGGTTTTCCACACTGCTTTGCTGTTTTTAACTGTATTAACTCCATAAATAATTTGTCTAATGCACTTTCTGTCATTATTCTTGGTTAAAAACAGATATATACTTACTAGGCCCACTGCCTTTTATATTTCCATCCTTGCAAATACTATCTGTACATTCCAGTAGTTACAATGCACATTACCAATTCTATCTTGGCAGAAAGTTCATTAATTACCTTGTTCATTTCCATATTTATATTTTCTTTTTCCCTATCCTTAAATCGGATTTGTTCTGTCAGTTGGGCAACTTTCTCGGTCAAGAACACTGTAGTATTTCTGTAATCAATATTGCTTGATTTCCCAGCATACAAGAGTAGCTTCTTTATCATCTTGTCATCACACCTTTTAAAAGAAAAGGATTGATAAAATAATTAATAAAACATATGAATATGCTGACTGATGTCTACTTTTTGATGTGCCACAACCTTCAAGAGTATTATAAAATCATCTAATTGCCACATGTACACTGATCAGCCAAAGCATTAAACCACCTAATGTTGTGTAGGTCCCCGTCATACTGTCAAAACAGCTCTAATGCATTGAAGCATGTACTCGAGACCCCTGAATGTGTCCTGTGGTATCTGGCACCAAGCTATTAGCAGCAGATCCTTTAAGTCCTCAGGTTATGAGGTGGGGCCTCCATGCTCAGTTGGATTGAACTCTGGGGAATTTGGAAGCCAACGTAACACTTTGAACTCTTTGTCATGCTCGTCAAACCATTACTGAACAATTTATGTAGTGTGGCAGGGTGCATTATCCTACTAAAGAGGTTACTGCTATCCTGTTGAAAGAGGCATATGTGGTCAGCAACAATCTTTATGTTGCTATGAAGAGGTGTAGGTTGTAAGTGTCAAAGTAACATCCACGTGAATTCCAGGACCTAAAGTTTATCATCAAAACATTTCCCAGAGCATAACACTGCCAGTGCTGGCCCACCTTCTTCCCATGGTGCATGATGCAGGTACATGATGCACATGCACCCTGCCATCCGCTTGATCTAAAAGTCCAGTTCTGAAGCTCACATCCCCATTGAAGGTGCTTTTGGGGATGGACAGGGGTTATCATGGGCTCTATGAGAGGTTGGCAACGACGCAGCAACTGCAATGTATTGATGTCCTGACACCTTTCTATCCTGGCCAGCATTCATTTATTTATTTATTTTAGCAATTTAAGCTACAGTCGTTTTTCTGTGTCATTGAACCCAAGGGACTAGCTTCATTCCCCATGTGCATTATTAAACCATTGGCACCCATGGCTCTGATGTTCAGCGGTTGTCTTAGCTTGCACCACTTTTGATAGGTACTAACAACTGTATACCAGGAACACCCCACAAGACTTGCTGTTTCGGAGATGCTCTGTCATTTAGACCTCACTATTTGGGCCTTGTCAAAGTCAGTGTTATTTACTTCTACCATCAGTGGATTTAATGTTAAGGCTTAGCAGTGTACATTAGCACAAGTTGTTATTATTGTACCAGTGCATAGTATTGGCCTTCACTTCTGCAATATGTTTGGTCTATGGTTAAGTCCCATCTGTTGGATGAAATATGTAAGGCATGTGATGTGGGTGTCACTTTACCTTATGGAATAAAGCAAGAGTTTTTCAAGACATCCTTCCTTATTGTTTGAATGTCATATTGGTCCTTTTTAAAAATAAGTATTTTTTCCCAACCTAATTTACTTATTTTTCCTTTTACTGTACCCATACATATAATATTTTTTGCTTAGGTTTGAATAGGGTTTTCTTCTTATACAATGATACATCTTAAATCAATAATAATAATTATTATTATTATTATTATTATTATCTATAGGAATTGTTAACAGACTGGATGTGAGGCTCAAAGGTGAGGCCAGAATCAAGTATAAAACCAAGACAGCACGCATGCAAGAATGGACTTATGTGGGTACCACTAACTTGAAGGGAGAGTGAAGGAGGAGGATCAATATTAGGAGGAGGAAAGACAAGGAGTTCAGATTTAGAGGGATTGAGTTTCAAAAAGCAGGAGGTCATCCAGTCAGAGAGGGAAGAAAGGCAAGCAGTGACACGTTGCAGGACAGCGGGGAGGTCCAGGGAGGAAAGGTATATCTGAGTGTCATCAGTGTACAGGTGGTATTGGAATCCACAAGTTTGCCAAGAGAGGCAGTATAAAGAGAAAATAGAAGGGGAAATACAAGGAGAGAGCCTTGGGGGACTCCAACCGAGACAGGACGAGGGGAGGAGGTATCATAAGAAAAGGACACACTGGGGGGGGCGGGGCTAGCGGCTGAGCTGACAAGACGCATGGCACCCGAGCTCCGGCAGAACTGCTCTACAAAAGCCTCATGGCTCACCCAAAAAGCCTCCAGATACCGACAAATCACTTACGGAGGATACACCAGGCAATGGGGAAGCACTCCAAAAACCCTGAGGGCAAAACTCGAGCCACACACAAGATATCGGGCAGCTCCTGTCCCAAGCATGTAGGCCCAAGATGGCGGACGCCTACCACGACCTGGGGATGGAGTCACTTTCGGCATCGGATGATGAATACCTTGGTGACATACCAACCCAGATAACCCAACGGAGGCTGCAGAATGCACCGCCGAAACAACCTGACCACCAACTAGCCACTAAGGTTGACCTGTCAGGGATGGTGACAGACCTCAAGGCCTTTTTCGCGGCAGAACTCGCAGGCCTCAAGTCTGAGCTGAATACGCTCACGGGCCGCATTCAGACTGCAGAACCTGGGGTCCAAGACCTGAAAGCCCAGCAAGAAGCTACCGCCAATCAAACGCTGGAACTAACAGCCATGTGCACGCAGATGAACACCCGAATGGGGCAGCTGGAGGATGTAGCAAGGCAAAAAAACCTCAAGGTGAGGGGGATCCCAGACACCGTAACAGAGGAACTACCGCATCTCATTAAGAGACTGCTCCAGGCCGCCCTGCCATCCAAACAGGCCAAAAGCATAACTCTAGATGGCCTATTTCGCATACCGGGACGCCAACGCAATGCACCTGATTCGGCAAGAGATGTCATATTGAACTTCAAAACCCGTGCAGACAAGGATGGCTTTCTCAGGGCCGTCAGGGGCCAGACCCCATTTGCATTTGAAGACCTCAACCTGAACTTTTTTCAAGACCTCAGCTGCCAGACGCTACAATGGCGTGCATCCTTAAAAGAAACCACGGCACAACTAAGAACAGCAGAGATACCATATAAATGGGGATACCCAAGGCTTCTTATCGCTACGCGAGATGGGCACTGTGGCGAAACCGACCTCGCCACTGGGCATTGGAGAAGACTGATTGCCAGACTCCTGCCATGTGACTATGGCCCCTGGGATGTATTGCCCTTTAAAGACATGATTTGGGCATAATGGATTTGTGTTGTGCTGCTGCTGGCCCTTTTAAGAACCATCTGGGGACATACTGTGGAGTTACTGGGTGGCCACCATTTCTTGTATCAGAAGCACATGGTGAGAACAATGGATGGCGGCCATTTTAACTCCCAGACACTGTTTGGACTTTTCAACATGGTGCCATCTCGCCAGTGTTTGGTGCACAGAGACATTGTGCAGTGGTTTTGGACTATACAACAGGGGACACATTATAGAGTGATTGTTTTTCATTTAGCCTGTATATGTTCTGCAGAATCTGCATTAAACTGTATCTTCCAAATTACTGAATGGATCTGGGTGAATTTTGGATATGTGGTTCACCCAGATCCCCCGGTTCCAAGGATATACTTTATGGGGTTATTGCATGTTTTGGGGTCCCTGTGATGTGTTTTATGAAACTGTATTTCTCTGGCTGTGATAATTAGATTACCCATTGTGTTCAGTAATCATATCACAGGCAGAAGGGAGGATTTTGTGTGGGAGTGTCTGAGTGTATTGTACGGATTGATTGGTTGTTCTGTAAAACCCTGTGGGCAGTACTAAGTTTGTGTATTGGGAATAAAAGAGGCTGTATGTGCCAGTCCAGAGAGTTCCTGTTTTAACCCTCAAAGTGAAGTGTCGTCTCATTATTGGGGGAAGGATTTATTGTATGCTGTTCCAGTTTGACTGCTAGGAGAGTAAACCTATTCGTATGGTTCCTATTCAACTGTCTACAGCATTCATATGCTTGGGAGAATTTATTTGTTTCTCCGGTTCGGTGATTGTGGTGTCTGCCAGAGTGCTTGGAGTCCTCAGGAAGCGCTAGGAGCATCCTTCAACGAAGGTACCCAGTCGGGGTGCCAGGCGATCCATTACAGGCACAACCACCGACTGGCATCACCGGCGCTGGGCATCCAACAGAAGGCAGGGGCCAAGACAAGACCTCCACACAAGTGGGACGTAGCTAACGTTCCGGACTTTACCCCTGCGGGACAGATAAAACCAGCAGGACAAGGGCCAGTGCAGCCCCGGGTAACTTGAACCGACTGAGCAGTCGTCTGATAGAGAGACATTGCAACAAAAACCTCCATCCTGGTGTTGTCACATATTGGGCGAGTTGGAGCTTGGCTCCCACATCTCCGTGTTATGCTTTGCTTTATTGTGTTTGTTTTGCATTTTTATTTCTCTTGGTATTCTATCCGTTTTACTTATGGTTTAATATCAACAACCTAATTTCTCATCGTGTAGACAGATATCTCACATTAAGGAACCATTACACATATAGTGTCATTAAGCCCACGACACTGTCACGAAACCCCACTCAGCAGCCAGGCGGATGGCCTACCTCCCCCCCCCAGACTCAAGGGGTTAAGGAGCCATTAAACCATGCCACATACCACTATTGCCTCTAGCCACTATAGCGCGCATGCCCCTAGAGCTTGCCCCCAACCCCACCCAAAGCTAAAGAGGACGGGGACAGATGACAGTACGGCCATACAGGCCATCAGAAGCGGCACTGGCAAGGTTACACCACCTAATATATTCTAACCTGTTACATATTCTCCTTTAGTTCTTGCATCACTCAAGAAAATTATAAAAATTGTGCTACTACCTGCTTTAGTATGTCACACTGCTGTTTAACTATGTCTTTAACTACTGTGCACGCAGCTGTTGTTGTGACACTGCCTGCTCTTGTGTTTAACTTGCACTTTCAAAAAAAAAAAATTATAAAAAAAAAAGAAAAGGACACACTGAATGAGCATTGGGATAGATAGGAGGAAAACCAAGAGAGGACAGTGTCACAGAGACCAAGTGATTGAAGAGTTTGGAGAAGGAGAACATGGTCAACAGAGGTAAAGAAGAATTAGTATGGAGTAATGCCCCATGGATTTGGCTGTGATTAGGTCGTTAAGGACTTTAACAAGAGCAGTCTCAGTAGAGTAGAGGGGGCGGAAGTCAGACTGAAGAGGAGAGAGTTGGAATTGAGGAAACAATTCAGACGGGTAGAGACCAGTCTTTCCAGAAACTCTGAGAAAAAAGGGAGCAGGGATGTGGAATGATAGTTAGAAGGGGAGGATGGGTCAAGAGACCAGAAGAGAGAGAGCAGTTGAACATGTGTGTTAGGAAAGGCACAAGACAAGAGGAGAGAGATCGGATAAGGTGAGACGGGACAGGATCAAGCTGGCAAGTGGTGGGGCGAGAGGAAAGGAGAAGTGCAGCCACCTCTTGTGTTCAGTAGCCTGGTAGAAAGTCTGAAGGGTACGAAAAGCATGATCCAGGTGTGGTTGAGAAATAAAGGGGCAATGTGGTAAGAATTCTTTCCTTAGCTATTCAATCTTATCTGTAAAGTAGCATGCAAAGCTATCGGCTGTAAGGTTTGTTTGGGGGGTGGCAACAGCAGGGCAAAGAAGGGAGTTAAAGCTATTAAAAAATGCCTGAGATTGTGGGAGCATGAGCTAACGAGGGAGGAAAAGTATGACTGTTTGGCAAAGGCCAGGGCTGTGCTGTCTGAACGCAACATAAATTTGTAGTGGAGGAAGTCCAACTGGGTGCGTGACTTCCTCCAGCAGCATTCAGTAGAACAGGAGCATCTCTGCAGGTAGCATGTTGATTTAGTGTACCACGGTTGGGGGCGTGTTCTCCTCAAGGTGCATGTTTGGAGTGGGGCTGCAGCATTCAGTACAGAGGTGAGGGTAGTGTTATATGAGGAGATATAGACCTATAGAGGTTACAGGATCAAACTACATACATGCTGGTTTCACTTTTCAAATCTGAATGGAACATGGATATGTTCAGTCCATTTAACTTTGTGGACAAACATGTAATGTGCTAGACAAAAGACAAACCTAACTTACTAGGAATTTAATAGACATACCCACTTCTGCAGCAAGAAAAAGAAGATAGACTACGTGATACTTTGTGTGTCTCCTTCAGATCAGCCCAACTCTCCTCTTCTTCGTCTGAAGCAGCTTGTCCCTCAACAGAGCGGAACATTTCATCTTCAACTAAAAGGAGTAAATAAATAACAAGTTTGGAGGATCTAATTTTAAAGAACAGTTTTTGCAGCTCTGGACAGGAACCCCAAAACAGCTTTGGAAGTGGGTGAGCTGGCAGATTTCCACACTGCAAACCAAGTAACAGTGGACCGGAGCAAAGGTTTTGCCAAGCGAGCATCTTTTGTTCCAGCTTCTACCTTTAGGGAGAGGGGGAGTTAGTGCCATTTCTGTGCAAGGAGAGAGTCGCAGATGTTTCATTTGCAACCAAGTGGGGCACATCAGTGTTACTTGCCTTGGGAAAAGGCAGCCAGCCAGCATCATCAGCTGGGGAGGGATGCTCCTTAGAACCAACGTCCTCTGTGTTGTTTGTAACCAGATCAGAGGGCAGCAACAATGTAAGTCTGCAACCTGTGACAGTTGGAAAGGAGGTAACTGTGGGACTCAGGGGCACTGGGGCAGATGTGACTCTTGTCCGTCTAGAGCTAGTGCGCTGTGAGGACTTCATTCCTGACAGGACTCTAGCAGTTAAAGGAATTGAGTGGTACGTCTTGTAGTGCCAATGGCATGAGTTTATTTGGATTGGGGAGAGGGGAAGGGTTTCAGAAATGTGGGGGTAGATGAGAATATCCCTGCAAATGTATTACTTGGGTAATTAGCATCTCCCCATAGAGATGCCTAAATCAATGGATACGCCAAAAACGGGAGATATGCCAGATAACCAGTATCTCACTAGTTATCTGGCATACCTCCCGTTTTATGTACCCACAAACCTTTTCTTTATATAGACTGTTAATATCACACTATACTATTTGTTATACAGTGACCAGACTGTTAACAGAAATTGTGCCACAACTCCTATATCCGCTTTGTTCTCGATGCCTGCCACTCTACATCTAACTTAATATTTAAACAGTTAAGTTAGTTCAATCTGTGTCTATCTGAAATAGCTTCAGATCATTCGGCAACATTTCAGACTGTCTTTAGTATACAGCAAAGACTGCCACACCATGGCTATGAAGCTAATGCCTTTGTAACACAGTAACATGGCAATAATTTGTTGTGGATAGCCTAACAGCCCTTCTGTTTGATACACTCTGAAGAGTTATTAAGCAGTACACATTGAGCTAGTGTGCATCAATTTGTGCATCAATGGGCATTCCATCTGTAGTTGCTAGTAAGAAGTCTACATTAATTTGTACTTAGTGTGCACCAACCTAATGGAGGTCTGACACTCGCACCTTTACTGTGAGGCTCTTGTACCCTCACGAGGGCGCTCTTTAGTTTCAGCCAACATTTTCATTTTTCTATAGGTATACCATTGTATCCTTTTTTGTGGTTAGTCTTATATGTTTAGTCCATTTATTGGATGTTTTATCTCAATACTTATTAAATGTTAAGTTTTAAATAGGACATATGTTCCTGCACAATATTATTTTTCCACCCTCCTCTTCCTTTTTTAAAAATGATTCCTAGCTTGCCTACCTCAATTTTGGAGGTTTAAGCTCCTGTTTACCTGTCTGACAGACCCCACTTATGCTTTATGGAAAGTATTACTTTTTATTTTATTTAAATAAAGGTTTTTTTGGTCTCTGTACTTGCATACTGTGCCAATTATCTTTTGTTTTTAATATTTTTTTATTTTATTTTTTATTTATTTTTTAAATTTGACAATTTTTATTGGTCAGTAAATGCATAACACATAGGCTTTAAACAAGGTTACATACATGTCATATACTTTTCCGGTGGATCTCTGAACTGTGTACATATAGGACCTGCATTGTGTCTGGTTGCAGAGATAGGTACTTATATACATTGAACCGTAACCGACATTCTATATCCCCCAGACATTGTTCTGAAGTCAGCCGGCTACTTTGTCTAATGGGGTAGTTCCTAGGTCCTTATTGTGCTTCCTATTTCTATATTGCGTTATTTGCATATACTCAACTCTGTCAGGGTAGGGGGGTGGGGGGAGGGGGCAGGTGGGGTAGAGGGTGGGGGTCTATCAGAGGTGGTATTCTCTTGTGCTGTGGGAGGAGTGGTTCACGTCGGAGGCTGGGCAGTGTGTGGTTTCATGGGGTTTTGTCTTGCGTGGACGTGGGCAGACTCTCTGTAGGGACGGCTCGTGGTGTGGAGCAGGTCAGGAAATCTGACCACATAGTATGGGCTTGTTTCAAGTGTTTTTTGGTTCCAAATTGGGTTGCAAATGTTGTTTCATAGACCCAATTGAGTGAGACTTGCCGTATGAGAAGTTCCCTGGATGGGATTGCTACTTGTTTCCAAAACCTTGCGATAAGTGTCGCTGCTGATATTAGTACGTGGTACATGGCTGTCCATGTGGCCTTGGAAGTCTCATCTGGGGGGATGAATAAAATGCAGAGTTCTAGGGTGAGGGTTACTTGCGTGCGTATAGTATTTGATATAACATTTTGTACTTCGTGCCAGAAGGGTTTGATATTGTCACATGTCCACCAAACGTGTGTCATGGTGCCCCTTTGGTGTCCACACCTCCAACATTTGTCTGTGGATTGCGGCCAGATGTGGTGAACTCTGGCTGGGACTAGGTACCATCGGTACAGCAATTTGCGCTGTAGCTCCAGATGGGTGGCACAGGAAGTTGTTCCCTTGTGTGAGGAGTAGGCCTTGTCCCATTTGTCCCTAGTTATGGACCTACCCAGTTCCGAATGCCAGGACTGTATATGTGTGTCATTTGGTGGGTCTACTGTCTGTAGTAGTAGTCGGTAGGTTATGGCTATTAATTTTTTTAGCCGTTTTCAGTGCGTGCACAGGAGTTCGAATTCAGAAAGGTGCTCTCTGGTATTAGCGTTATTAACGCGGGATTTATTCTGAGATAGGTATGATTTGATCTGTAGGTAAGGGAAAGTCAGTCTGGAGGAATAGGTATGATTTGATCTGTATGTCTGGGAATGGGCGTAGTTTACCTCCTTCATATAGCTGTCCCACTTCAGTTATCCCCCCTTGTTGCCATGGTTTTTTGTCCCATGTTGGTATTAGGGTGGTCAGGATGTCTAGCGGAGTAGCTAGAGGCACTGGGAGGTAATGGACCAGGTGTTGTCGAGAGGTGTCCCAGTGGTGCAATATGTGCTGCGTTGTGGGTAATAGATGTGTGGTGTCCCGTCTATGGGACTTGGGAGTCCAGAACAGTGTTTGCAATGTCGAGGGTGCCGCCCAGTGGTTTTCTATGTGGAGCCACTGTGGTGATGATGGTTGTGGTCTCAGTTGCGGCACTATTGTTAGTGCTGCTGCTCTATAGTATGCGGTTATATCAGGGAGACCTAACCCTCCCTGTGTTTGGTGCCTTTGTAGGAGTTTTGTCGCAACCCTTGGCTTCTTATTACTCCATGTGAAGGCTATGGAATGGGGATTTGTAGTGTTCTGTATAGGTATTGCAGTTTCGGCAGTAGGGACATTTTTATGGCTGCTATGCGGCCCACCCACGATAAGTATTTCCCCTCCCATGACTGTAGTGTGCTTTTTAGAATGTTAGCTAGGGGTATGTAGTTGGTTTTAAACAGTGTGGCGGGGTTTTTTGTCATTTTTACCCCCAGGAAGGTTAGATAGTCATCCCTCCAGTCTAGGGGGAACGAACCTTTAAGGAGCGCAATTTGCTTGTTGGGTATGTTGATTCCCATCGCTTGTGTCTTAGAGACGTTCAGTTTGTAATAGGATAGGAGGCCATATGTTGTGATGTGTTTCATTAGGTTTGGCAGGGATATCTGGGGTTGTGTTAATGTGAGGAAGACATAGTCAGCGAATATACTCAGTTTATAGTCCCGTTGGTTCAGGGATACTCCTTGTATGGATGAGTCCGTTCGTATTCTAGCGGCTAGAGGTTCTAGGGCCAGGACGTACAGTAGCGGGGATAGGGGGCAACCCTGTCTAGACCCATTAGTGATTGTGAACTTGTCGGAACAGAATCCCGCGTTTAACACTCTTGCGGTTGGGTGGCTATATAGGGCCTCCACCATATTGATAAACTGACTAGGGAAGCTCATTCTCGACAGGACCAATTTCAGGAATCCCCAATTTAATCTGTCGAAGGCCTTCTCCGCATCTAAGGACACGAGAAGGCCTCCCACATACGACCTCCGTGTAGTGTGTATGAGGTTCAATACTTTACGGGTATTGTCCGCCCCTTGCCTCCCCGATACAAACCCTACTTGGTCGTCATGTATCAAGGAGGGAAGGATGGTGCTTAGTCGCTTGGCGAAGACCTTTGCTAGTAATTTGGCGTCTGTGTTGAGTAACGATATAGGTCTAAAGTTGGGGCAATGAGTTGGTGGTTTACCTGGTTTCGGGAGAGTTATGATGTGTGCTAATAACAGCTCCTCTGGGAGCTTTTTTTCCTGGATAGCTGAATTGAATAGCTGTGCCAGGGGTTTTGCAAGGGTCGTTTTACATTTTTTGTAATACAGGTTTGTGAACCCGTCTGGGCCTGGGGCTTTGTTAGATGGAAGGGATTGTATGGCTTCTTCTACCTCTGTGGTTGTGACAGGGTGCTGTAGCGTGGCCACCTGGTCTGCTGTGAGGGTCTGTAGTGGAGTGTCTTGAAGGTAGGTTATGATTTCCTGGTCATCCGGCACTTGCAGATGGTTAGAGTGTGCTAGGTTGTATAGTTGGCTGTAGTAGTTTGCAAATGCGTTGCTAATATCTATGGGGGATACGACTTTTGTGTCGTCGGCTGTGTATACATATGGTATTTTGGCGTTTGCCTCTACTTTTTTCAACCGAGTTGCTAGTATTCTGCTGGCTCTGTTGCCCTGGGTGTAATGTGTAGCTTTCAGTTTGCGGAGGTTGTATCCGACTTGTTGCAGGGTGTGTGTTTTAATTTTTTCCGTTATGTCCCCAATTTTTCGTTGTGTGTCTGCAGTCGGTTGGGTTTTGTTTTTGTGTGTGAGATCTGACAGCTGTTTGTGCCAGGCTATCCAGTTGGCTCGTCGTGTTTTTTGTGCGTGGGAGGCCTGTTTGATGAGAAGCCCTCTGATTACAGATTTGTGTGCCTGCCATGTAGTGCTAATAGAGGTGTCCTCTGGTTTGTTCAGAGTGAAAAAGTCGTCTATGGCTTTCTGTATGTCGTTCGTAAAGGAGTTGTCTGTTAGCAGGGACTCGTTGAGTCTCCAGGGGCTCTTATGTTTAAAGTCGTAGCTATCTTTAAGGGTTATGGTTTGGGGAGCATGGTCCGACAACAAGATGGTGCCTATTGAGCATTCCAGTACTTGATCTAGATGACGACCCTTAACATGAAACCTGTCTATTCTCGTGTATGTGTTGTGGGCGGCAGAGAAATATGTGTAGTCCTTTTCCGTTGGGTGTAGGACTCTCCACACATCGTATAGCCCCCGTTCCTCTAGTAGTTTTAGGTGACTCATGCAGGCTGTTTGTTGTCTGGAACGTGTTGTATGAGGGGTTTGTGTCGTAGTGTCCATGTTAGGATCTAAGATATGGTTGAAGTCCCCACACAGAACCAACATCCCCTCTTGGATTGGGCGGAGGAGAGACAGAATTCTGTGTAGGAAGTTCCTTTGGTTTGTGTTTGGGGCATATGCGTTGACTATCGTGTATTTGTTGTTGTTGATCGTGCAAACTAGCATGAGGTAGCGGCCCTCGGGATCTGTTTTCGCAGAGTGGTATTGGAATGAGACCTGGTTGCTAATCAGTATTGATACGCCCTTAGTTTTTTGACCTGATATGGCGTGATATTGGTGAGGGAATTGTGACGGCTTGATATTTGGTGTTGTCTTAAAATGTGTTTCTTGGAGGCACAGCACATCTGGTTGTGTCTTTTTAAAGTCCCTGAGTAAGCAGTGTCGTTTATATGGGGTATTCAGGCCCCTAACATTATGGCTTTGTATTTTCATGCAGTTGATGGGATTGGTGCCTGTCTGTTATTGCTGTGGGTTCGGTCTTTTGTGTGTGTGCTCTTTGGGTCGTCTTCGTGGGTGTTTTTGTGTGTCTTTCCCTCAGATCTAGGTTTTGTTTTGTTTTTTTATCTTTTTGGGTTTGGGTGTTAGCAGGAGGTAGTTCCTCCCTTAGGCTAGTTGTAAGATACTCCAGAAATATTGGGCCCCTCAGGGGGGTTTCCCTGCGGTGTTCGCAAGTTAGAGTGCCCTCCTCCAGAGAGGTTAGAGAGGGGTGAGGGGGAATAAAGGGGAACCGTGCTGTGAGTGGACGGTTAACAAGAAGAACTTTAATGAAGCCCTATTAAGGGCTACTTGGCTGTACAGTAGTACCATGTGGGAGCGTGGTACTTAAGAGTGTGAAATAACATAGGTAACCCGGCCTAGTTGTCGCTGTGACCACATGCCCGGTGTAAGTGGTGCTGGACCTCGGCTTGGCCCGGTAACACTGGGCATCTATTGGGGTTGTGTGGGTCTTTTGCGACATATCATAGCCCTTACCCTTCCTTGCCCTTAACAATATACAACTGAAAACAATCATAACATTAACGGTAGGCGCTGCCTGGTCGGTTCTCCAGCCGGAGTACCAGTGCGGGTAAGTCAGCGGAGTATGGAGCGTTTGGGTTCCGCCACCATGGGTACATATCGATGTGTGTTGGCGTGCATGAGTGTGCTGGCAGTGTGAGGTTTGTGTGTGGGATATTACCCCGTAAGTCTTACAGCGGTTCAGTTTCATGTCTCCTGTTGATTCTCTGCACGTGGCATTGCCCTGTTCAAAGTCCATGGTTGGCGCTGAAATCCCAACTTGTTGTGTCGGCTAGAAATCCGTATGGGGAAAAGTCCGACCAGGCAGCATCTCATCGGGGGAGGCTGGTGAGGTGAGACAAAGTAGAACTTCTCCCGGGACGGGTGTGTCTCCCCCTCGCTCAGGTGCGTGCTTTCTTCCATTCCGGCTGTATCTTGGTGGGCTTTGGCTGGTTGCTTCCGTGTGGTTGCGCTTGGATTCCCCATCTTTTCAGGGTTTTTCGTCCCTCGTCTGGGGTGGTGATGGTGTGGATTGTTCCATTTCTGTGCACCAGTAGGCGAACCGGGTGACCCCAGCGATATTGTACCTCTTGTTGTCGCAGGGCATCTGTGACCTCTTTAAATTCCCTCCTCTTTTGCAGGGTGAGAGCGGAGAGGTCGGTATAAATTTGTATTGCTTGATATTTCTCAGAGAGGTGTTTGTTTTGTCTGGAAGCTTTCATCAGAGCCTCTTTAGCATGGAAATAGTGCATGTGGGTGAAGATGTCCCTGGGGGCCTCCTCCGGTAGAAACTTCGGTTTAGCGACTCTGTGTGCCCTGTCCATAAGCAGTACATCCACAGGTAGGTCAGGAGCCAGGATCTTGAAGTACTCAGTGAGATACGCTGGTATTTCTGGTTGTTTCACCGATTCAGGTATGCCGCGCAGGCGTATGTTCTGCCTTCTGGACCTATCTTCGAGATCCATAAGTTTTGTTTGGCAAGATTCCAGCGTGTGTTCTAATCTTTGGACGTGATCCGCCATGTCATTATGGGCCTCCGCATATTCTCCCATGCGAGCTGTCCGTTCACCCAGCTCCTGGACATCTTTCCGTAGGTCAGTAATTGAGCTGTTGAAGTTTTTAATCAGTTTAGCTGTCATCTCCTCCAGGCATGTTTGTAGAATTGCCTGTGTTACTGGCTGGTCTCTGGAGAGTCCTGTAGCGGGATTGTGTCGTCGCCATCTTGCTCTTCTTCAAAGGGGGTCTGAGTTTTGGGCGTTTGGTTGCGGGCCGCAAAGAACCCGGACTTGTCCCCTTTCTCGCTGGGTTTCTTCCCCTTGTGTTGGGCCATCGTGGGGATGCGTTTGCTGGTCGGGATCGCTGTGTAAGTCGCTGTTTTAGGCCGGTTAAGGACGGAGCGTTACTCACATGCGACCGTCCGCGCCATTAGTCAGGCCACGCCCCCCTATTTTATTTTTTAAATATACTTACTTCCTGACTACCTCGTTTCCGGTCTACTCCAAAGAAATACCAGGTGGGGATCATACCACCGGCACCTTATCCATAGAGCAGTTTGCCTGTTTCACCTTTGTGAGTACTTACTATTTGCAATATTTCACCAATTTTATTGTAATAGAGAGCACTAATAGCTGCTTTCTACATTTTTGTCATTTTCTATGGACACACCACCATCTTCTACAGACACTCAATAACACATCCTGTATGCTATCAAAACTGGAGCTGGTTATAGCGCCACCAAATGTGAATTTTATTTTAGTACTCATTAAGGTTGACATATTGCACTATTGGATTTCTTGTTTTCCTGTCTTGCATGTATCTATGGATTACAAGAAAACTTCTACCCATCATATTCGCTGACACAAAGACCTACTGACTACCCAAGAATTCCTATTGCACTGCAATTCATATTATTCATAATTATTTATAGACTATTTTTAAGATTGTTTTGGACCATTTTATTTACCCACACCTACCCTATATTATTGCAAATAACACTTTATTGTCATTCCTGTACTTTTGTGGCACAGCAATTTTTTTTTCTTTATTCTTTATTGCACTAGTGTTGTGATTTTTCTTTTTATCATAAGTTATTCCACTTTCATTACTAAGTGCTCTATTTACTGTTTGTGCATTATATAGTGCAGATTTTCTAGATAAAAACTGCTTATTTAATACAAATTGCACTTACAAAACATAAAATAGTACGAGCATATCACCACTATTGTTATGGACAAGGATCTTGATTTCCTTGTGTGTGGAACACAAAGCACAAGGTGGAACTCAAGCCAACGATTACATTGCATTGTGAAGCAAAACTGAAAAGATGACTGAAAGTTAGGTATGGAGATCTGGACTATGAAAAGGCACAATCATCAAACAGTGAGGGAGGGCAGAGAACAGTGTTTAACTGGTTGATTTGAGGTTACTGTATAAACAAAGGCAAGAATAAAAACCCTGTGCTTGTCGCAATAAAGCACTACTGTTCTCCATGTTATCAAGTGTTTGGCTTATATTTGTGGAGCAATTGCAAAAACCTCCAGTAGTAGCCAATAAAATATATTCTTAATTATTACACTAAACATTAAAGTGATCTTAATATGATATGTCCAAATGGTATAACTAAATCCTCAGAGTTGCTTGCTAAGTGATTTCAAGTAGCCTTGTAAAATTAAAAAAAAAAAAAAAAAACCACAACAGTATTCTTCAGTGTGTGCACTTTTAATCTGTATTTGACATTATTATTCCATCGTGTTTGCTTTACCCTTAAGACCCATGACAGAATAATTTCATCATGCAGATGCTTCCCTCTGATTTCTGAGGAACACCAGGTATCACTCAAACTGGGGCTCCCATCTGTCAAATGGGGCCACAATTAGTGGCTCCACGTGGATCAATGAGTTGTGTTCAATGCTCAAAGTTCTGTAACAGTTCTGTGACATCAACTGGGATTCACATAACGAGAGGGACACCCACAAGTCTGAGAAGAGACCAATCAGGCCTTCTTGCAAGTTGATTGCAGGGAAATCGTCCATGGCAGAGTTTGATCAGCTTTGCATACTGACAAGTGCAGATCATTGTGTTTGATTGCACTGAAATGTAATATTGTGACAGCTAGTTCCAGTATTTTGTAGCAGCTGAAAGGGAAATAAAGCCTCTCAAGCATGCAAAGAGCAGGTGAATCCCTCTCAACTGTAGGGTAATACCTCCCTTTAGGGTTAGCGTTAGTGTTTAGGGTTAGTGGTTGGGATTAGTTAGGGTTACAGTTACAATTAGTGTGTAGGTTTAGGGTTACAATTAATGTTTAAAGGGACACAAAAGACAACCAGACCACTTCAGCTAATTGAATGGTCTGGGTGCACTGTCCCTTTTGCACTTAGTGCTGCCATGTAAAACAGTGCAGTGCTGCAATATAAAACATTGTCGGAGAGGGAGGAGCATCGACCCATAAGATAAGGTAAGTAAATAAAGGGGTTTTAACCCTTTATTTACCAGGGTGGGTGGGGGAGGGTGGAGCTACAGGAATACAGTTTTGAATTCCTGGCACTATAGCATCCCTTTAAGGTTAGGGTAACAGTTATCGTTTATGGTTAGTGGTTAGGTTAGTTAGTGCTAATGCTTAGGTGTGGGTTAAAGTTAGTGTTTAGAGTTAGGATTGCTACAAAAGGGCGGATTTGTCTTATAACACTGTCCAATTTAAGTACATCTTAAAGTTATGTGCCATGAAGTACGAAACGCATTAGGCAGCTGTTTTGGAGATATTAAACTGCTTCTTTTAATTTGTTAGCTGCCAGGTGTGATGTTTTATATCTTTTGAAATAAACACTGTGTTTTGATGGTTCATCACATCATAAGCAGCGTTCTCCAAAGAACTGGACAGCGTTAGCAGGCAAATCCACACTTTACTGGGATTAACCAAACATTTTTCTTGGATTCCGGGCTCAATAGCCCATGGACAAGTTGACAAACTGTCATTTACATCTATTTTTACTTGACTGTCTTTTTGGTGCGGTTCGTTTTGGGCAGTTTATTAATTCTACTCTGTACTTTGAAAAACACATCACAAGGGTACGGGAAAGAGGTTATTCTGCAATGTGCATGTTAAAAAGTGCCAAGAAGAGAAAACAATATAAATGTATTAAGTGGCTATAAAATAAGGAAAATATACACTATTGGCATACTCAATGGTTTTTACTTTTGCAAATGGTATGCATTTATAGGGTAATTTGGATTTAAAATTTAAAACTGAAATGGGTAGGTATCTAATTTGGGCACCAATTTATTATTTTTGGAGAAGCTCTGATACCATATATAAAAAATATAAATATAGCAAAAATATAACAATATTAGAATATTTTTCAAAATATCAAACTATTTTAAGAATGTATCCAAAAATATGAAATCATAAAAAAAGGTTTCCAAATAATTCAATATGGCTAGAAAAACTAAAATTATTTATCTACAAAGATTTCAATAGACTTTAATGGTGACTTCAGCAGATAAATGATTTGGTAAGTTTTACTAACAGTATTGAATCATTTGAAAAGCTTATTAAATCAAGGCCCATGTGAGATACCCCTGAGTGTCTACTTTATGAATGAATTTATGGGGTAATTGTAATTGATGATCTTCTAAAATACAGCAAAATGAGAAACAATTGGTAAAATCTCTTCAATAGACTGTGAAAAGGAATTTGGGACTAGGGCATTCTTTAAAATACATTTAGTAAGCAATAAATTAATAAATGTGCTCTTTCCCAAATCCCTATATATATTTAAACAAATGGAGGTTTTTCGTTACCTCCAATGGCCATGAGAGGGTATGCCCACCTGCCACGTCAAGGCAGACATCTTAGGTGAGTCCTAACTAACCATTCACCTTGCTTCCTTGAGCGTCTGGCAAAGATATCTCTTATGAGACAGAAAGGGGTGTTTTTTATATACATCCCCACATGCTTATTAACCCTTAATAGGGAACAGATGGGATGGGCTGCACCCCTTTTTGACTCATTAGATATATCTTAGCCAGAAGCTCAAGGAAGCAAGGCGAATGGTTAGAGTTAGGACCCACCTAAGAGGTCTGCCTTGACGGGGCAGGTGGGCATATCCTCTCATGGCCATTGGAGGTAACTAAAAACCTCCATTTGTTTAAATATACATAGGGATTTGGGAAAGAGTGCAGGTAACTTTTTTCTTTGGTTTTTACTGTATGTATTTGAGCTGATGTGTACTATGGTCGGTGCTGCCGCCCAGGAGTAATGGGAATTTGAGCGCAAAACTTGTTGGTTTTTTTGTTAATTAATAAATGTGCTGCTAAAATTATGTAATACCCAACATAAAATGTCTTATTCCTGTTCTATTGATTACTTCTGACCCATGAATTAAGAACCAGTTTATTTCTAGTGTTTTTCTTTTTTTTTTTTTTTTTTCAATTTGAAAGTTTTATTGTTTTACATGTTATAAAACATGGGATACAGAAAAGAAAAGGGTATGGGGGAAAGGAAGGGAATGGATCAAGTAAAAACACAAAACACAAAACGTTCCATGTCTTCCGGTTACATCACTAGTCACACATTGTCCTTGTTACATCATGCATTACATATTGTGTTTCATACACTACATGTCGTACATCATAGAATATATAGCGTGCATCATACATTATGCATAATACGTGTTGTTACGTGTTGTCCTGCTCTAGTTTCTGGGCTCTTGGGTGTGAGGTGGCCTGCTTCAGCGCCGGCTATGTGAGTGGATGTTACCCTTTCCCATAAGGGTTCTCGTGATCTTTTGTGGTGTCACCTGCTCTAATGTTATTACATGTTACATGGTGTGATTTCCAGGATTTCCCATCTCCTAGTTCCTTGTTGGGTAGCCTTTTCCTGTGCTCTCCTTGTGCCCACTCACGTCCCCACTGTTTGTTCGCTTTGTCCCTTACCCCTATACTCTTCCCACCTCGCATTGGCTAGGTCTATGTGTTTTCTTTGTCCAATGTGTTTGAGTGCCATTTTTTCGTATCGCCAATTTATATTTATTTGTTGTGTTAGGGTTTCCTTGGATGGAATTTGTGGCGATTTCCATGCTCTAGCTATGAGGGTTACTGCTGATATCAGGACGTGGAACAAAAGGGATTCCTCTGTTTTGGTCATTGTGAGTGGTAACATAAATAGTATGCATTGTTGTAGGGTGGGTCGCCACTGCCTGCCCAGCAGGTCACCCGCTAGTTCCTCTACTACCTTCCAAAATTTTTTAATCTCCGTGCACGACCACCATATGTGGCTCATAGAGCCTCCTGTTATCCCGCATCTCCAGCACGTATTTGGAGAGTTTGGGAAAATCCTGGTCAAATGCTCAGGTACCATGTACCATCTGTAATGCAGTTTCCTTATTGTTTCGAGATGTGTTGTGCAGCGTGTGTTACCTATGTGTATTGTAAATGCCCTGTGCCATTGCTCTTTGTCTATGGTTTGTCCCAGTTCCTTGTGCCAAGCTGTTTGGAATGTCATGTCCAAGTGCGCCTCATCGTCTGTGAGTATGTTGTAGATCGTGGAGATCGTTTTTTTAGGGGGTTTGATGGTTAGGCAAAATTGTTCTATGGAGTGTTTGTTGGGTGTCACCTGGCTATTTATTTGTACCCCTGTGAGCAGCGATTTTAGCTGTAGGTAGGAGAACAGTGCCTTGTTGGGGATGTTGTGCCGTGCTTGGAGATCTGGGAATGGCAACAGGTTGCCTTCATGGTATAGATGTCTAAGCTTAGTGCAGCCTGCCTCGTTCCATTTTTTTGTGTCGAATGTTGGGATCCCTGCTGCTATGCACGATATTGGGGCGTCCTCTAGGAGTGTTCCTTCCTTTCCTTCCCTCTTGCGGATTTCGTCCCAGAAGTATAGTGTTAACTGTGTGGTCAATAGGGGTTGTATCTGTTGGGGCCGGAGTTTTTTCGGGAGCCACAAGAGCTCCCTTAGAGATGGGCTATTTGTCCAATGGGCCTCTATTTGGGTCCATTGTGGCGCTTCTCCTTCCACTGTTGCTGCCTTGATTGCTGTTAGTTGTGTTGCCCTATAGTATTCTCTAATGTTTGGCAGTCCCAGACCCCCATGTATGGTTGGTTTTTGTAGTATTTTTGTGGCCACCCTTGGTCTTTTGTTGGTCCATATAAATCTGATTAGTGTTTTTTGAAAGGAGATCAGGTACGCGTTTGGCAGTTTTATGGGGAGAGTTCTCAGGAGATACTGAAGTTTCGGGAGCGTCATCATTTTTATCGCCGCGATTCTCCCCACCCATGACAGGTATTTCCCCTCCCATGTCTGTAGGGTGGTTTGCGTGTCCTTCAGTAATTTGTTATAATTGAGGTCTAGTAATTTTTCAGTGCGGGGTGGGATGCGGATGCCCAGGTAAGTTAGGTGGTCCACTCGCCAGTCAAAAGGGAAAGCGGTTTTGAGTCTTTCGAGTGATTCCCCTGGTATCCCCATTCCCATGGCTTGTGTCTTTGTGACGTTTAATTTGTAGTAGGAGTGTTTCCCATATTCCGTAATGGTGGCCATTAGATTGGGGAGGGATATGTGGGGTTGTGTCAGGGTTAGGAGGACGTCGTCTGCGAATAAACTCGCCTTGTATTCCCGATCCCCTATTTTTACGCCATGTATGGAGGAGTGCTGCCTAATTGCCGCCGCCAAAGGCTCCAGGGCCATGACGTACAGGAGTGGCGATAATGGGCATCCCTGTCTGGATCCGTTTGAGATTTTGAGGGGGTCCGATACGAACCCTGCATTGACGACCCTTGCTGTTGGTGCATTATATAAAGCCCTGACCGCTGAGATAAGACCCTCCGGCACTGCAAACTTTAGGAGGACCTGCTCGAGGAACCTCCATCCCAGTCGGTCAAAGGCCTTTTCGGCGTCTAACGATACTAACACCCCTCCCACTTTCATTCTGCGGACACTGTGTACAATGTCCAGAACCTTCCGTGTGTTGTCGCATCCCTGTCTGTTTTTTATGAATCCCACTTGATCTGAGTGTATAACCTGTGTGAGCATTTTGCCCAGACGCAGTGCATAGATCTTTGCATAGAGCTTAACGTCAGTGTTTAGCAGGGATATTGGGCGGAAATTCTGAGGGCATGTGGGTGGTTTGCCCGGTTTTGGGAGTGTGATGATGTGGGCCAGTAGGGATTCAGTGGGCAGTTGTTGTCGTGCAGTGGCTTTATTGAAAGCATTTGTTAGATGTGGCGTGATGATTGGGGCAAAGTGTTTGTAGTAACAGTTTGCGAAGCCATCCGGGCCTGGAGCTTTGCCTATTGGCAATAGTTTAATGGCTTCCGCGACTTCTGCAACTGTTATGCTAGCCATGAGTTCCTGTTGTTGCTGGGGTGTGAATTTAGGCAGTGGTATGGAGCTTAGGTACGTCTGTATCGCCTGGGGGTCCGGTTGGGGTGTGTGAACATCCTCGGCTAGGTTGTATAGTGAGGCGTAGTATTGTGCGAACCTGTTGCTGATGTCTTTAGGTGCTGTTATTTTGTGTCCTTCAGGTGATGTTAAGTACGCTATTTTTTGTTGTGCCTGTTTGTTTTTGAGAAGTTGGGCTGTCAGTTTGCCTGCTTTGTTTCCCTGCGAGTATTGGGTTGCTTTCAGTTTTTGCAGGTAGTAGCCTGTTTTTTCTAGGGCTTGTTTGTGTATGGCCTGTGTGATTGTCATGATGCGCAATTTCAGTTCCTGGGACGGGGTTCGTTGGTTTTGGGAGTTAAGGTCCTGCAGGTCCCTTTGCCAGTGTCGCATCTGTGTTTGTGCTTGTCGCTTCAAGAATGCTGCCCGCTTTATCAGCAGCCCCCTGATTACTGATTTGTGTGCTTGCCATACTATATTGTGGGATGTGTCTTCAGTGTTGTTTTCTGTGAAGTAGTTGGTGAGCTCAGTTTCTAGTGTTTTTTTGAAAGTATTGTCTGTGAGAAGTGTTGCATTGAGTCTCCATGGGCTTCTATGTGTGGAGTCGTATAAGTCTGCCAGGGTCATCACCACTGGTGCGTGGTCCGACCATGTTATTTGTTCAATGGAGCAATCTTTGACCTGTTCTAGATATTGGCCCGCAATCAATATACCATCAATTCGTGAGTAGGTATTGTGTACTGTGGATAGGAATGTGTATCCCCGTTCCCCTATGTGTAGTGCCCGCCATACGTCATAGTGGTGATTGTCTTGTAGTAATTTTTGTAGTGCCCTGCCCTGTCTCTTGAGTGGCTTCAGTCTAGTGGCTGTATGTGGGCCTGTGGTGTCCATCAGCGGGTCCAACACATGGTTAAAGTCGCCACATATCACCCCTATTCCTTTACTTATAGTCGACAATTTTTTAAACACCTTGTGGAGGAAATTTCTTTGATCCTTATTTGGGGCATATACGCTTGCAATCGTGTATAGAACGTCATTAAATGTCCCCACTACCATAGCATATCTACCCTCTGTATCTACCTCGGAGTGCATGAGGGTGAACGCCACATCTCTGCTAACGAGGATTGAGGCCCCTTTAGATTTGGTGGAGTGTGTGGCGTGAAATTGGTGTGGGTAGTCTTGCTGGAACAGAGGTGAATGTGCTTTGAATTTAAAATGTGTTTCTTGGAGGCACACTACCTCAGGTTTGAGTTATTGTAAATCTTTGCGAAGCAAGCTTCGCTTCGCTGGGTGGTTGAGCCCTTTAGTATTGTGAGAGTATATTCTCATGGGGGGTAGTATATTTGGATTTCGAGTTGTAATGGACCTGTATTATCTATTTGCGAGGGGGACACCCTTCCCAGTATTAACGAACCGGGTGACCCCTCCCTATTTCGTGTCATGTGTTGGTAGTAGCCTCCACTATGTGGGGGAACCTTGTGTGTCTTGTCAATGGAAAGTAGAGCAGGCATTAGTTGTGCAAGATGGAAAACATGGAGGGTAAACAAATAACTTAAAACAGTAATAACTAAACATTTTGCCATAGTATTGGCCTTGTGCCTCAGGTAGGCACTGTGGGGTAGGAAGCTGCATGCTTCCATGCCTGATCGCATTGGTCTTCGGGCCTGGTTAGGGTGTGTCAGAGGTGTGTGCACCCTCTTTGCGTGTCGGCTGAGAAGAAAAAAATGTAAATTGCCGAGTTCTTGTTATGGGGGGGTCAGGTCGGGTGCTTCTGGGTGCCCGGTTTTACCACGGTTACCCTTAGATTTAGAAAATACACATGATAGGGTGATGTCTATCACACTGCGTACCCTCTATCAGGCGCCCTTACCCCCCTCATAGTCAGTGTCCCATTGTCTTAGTGCAATACTTGCCACTGTTCGTGGACGCGGGCCGCGGCCTTATTTGTTTCTCGTGATTTTCTTCCATGTTGGCGGTAGCTTGGCCCTTGCTGCGGCTTGAGACGGCATCCTCGGTGGTGGCAAGCCCCACTCTTTCAGTGCTTGGATACCGGCTTCTGGGGACGCGATGGCTGTCATCTTGCCTTCGTGCGTGACTAGTAATTTGACTGGGAATCCCCATCGGTATGGCTTCTTGTGTTGTCTCAGTTGCTCTGTAATTCCTGAGAAAGTTTTCCTCTTTTTCAGCATTGCTGCAGATATGTCCGCGTAGATTGTGATCCCCTGGTATGGTGCTGGGAGGTTTGGGCGCTGCCTGTTTGCCCTCAAGATGTCTTCCTTTACATGGAAGTAGTGTAGTCTTACTAGTGTGTCTCGCGGTTCGTCCGCCGACAGGAACCTCGGCTTGGGGACTCTGTGGTACCTGTCCAGCAGGAGCATGTCCTGGTGGATGTCTGGAATAAGGATTTTGAACAGGCCCTGTAGGTAAGCATGGAGGTCTGCCGTGCTGACGGTCTCTGCTATTCCTCTCAGGCGCAGGTTATTCCGTCTGGAGCGGTCTTCCATGTCCGCCAGCTTGTTTCCGTAGGACTCTATTGCGTCCTGCATTTCATCCATTTCGGCTCGCATGGCATTGTATGCTTCAGCTTGGTCAGCCATTTTGTCTTCCAGGGATGATGTGCGCATACCCAGATCTCGGATTTCGGATTTGATTTCGTTTAGTGAGGTTTTTAGTGTGAGCTGCAGCTTTTGGTGCATGTCATCCAGCATTCTCTGTATTATATGTGGGGTTGCTGGGGTTTCTTCAGGAGTTGTACCCTGAGTGTCATTCAGTCCGCCATGGGCGCCATCTTGGGGCTCCTCTGATCTCGCCATCACTTTCCCCTGGGCATTCCGGACCGTGAAAAAGTCGGCTTTCTCCCCCTTTTCGGTCTGTCTTCTCCCCTTGTGTTGGGACATTGTTGCTGGGTAAATTCCCGGTCATAGGGTGCTCGTACCGCTTCTATACAGGCCGTGGTAGCACGGAGCTACACAGACATGCGGCCGCTGTGCTCGAGCTCCAGGCCACGCCCCGTGTTTTTCTTTTTTTTAAATGTTAAATTTATATGTCAAAATGTAAATAAATGAACTGCTATCATTTGTTTACATATATTATTCTTCAAGTTATCCCCCTTTCCTAATTTTTCCCAATTCTTCCAATTTTTTTCCAGTTTTGGACACTGCCATCTCCTTCTTAAAGAAAATGGAAAAATACCAACCCTACAAGATGGACTGCTCTTACATATCCATTGGATTCATTGGATGAAAGGTGTGTCTGCAGATAGAAAAGTGAATGCAGAGGGACTGAGTCAGTGAAGGGATGTATATGTCTTACATAGTGACCTTAAATTCTGTAGCCATAGATGTTGATTCATAGATGGCCTACAACTAACAGGATTCTTTGAATACAATAGATGGGCAGAAAATTGTGGGAATTATACAACAGCATCTGGGAGGCGAGAGTTTGAGATGCTGGTCTAAGGGCACCTGGTCAATAAACCAAAACCTGGACAGGATTAAACAATATAGATGTACAGAAGAACCATCAGAAACTTGAGCTTTTATGTTCATAACATACCATTGGGAAGGCTATCTGCATCTTTGATAAGTGATCTGCAGTCTTCTTGGTCAAGTAAATAACATGACCCCAAGGGCCTCTTTGATACCAACTGAGACATTCTTGCTTCAGATCTGAGAATGGGAAAAATAGATATAGCACATTTAGTGAAGGTAACCATGGGTTATAAGCAAAATATTCCAAACCAAATCGCTTTACTTGCTACTGGAGCCCATTATTTACTTATCACTAATATAACTTATCTAAAACATCTAGTGTCATCTAAGTATTGCAGGACACAGCAGGTGTATGTTTTGTGAAAGTGAATGACAGGTGATCCATGTTCAATATATTTCACACATGTAATGGCATTGAAGCACAGAAGGAAGCAATTGTTTAATTAAAGTGAGATCTAATGTTTACACTTTATTTGCAAATTTTGAATTTCTCATCTCCTGCAATGTCAACTGCTTTTGCTACGCATGGCCAGTGGATAGGGGTAATTAAACAAACAAAAAAATTGTGCGACATCTAAATGCATAACCTGCACCACCCATGGCAATAAGTGTGGGCTTCTTATTACATTACAATACATTAGGTTACATGTTTTGTATTGTTTTTTTCTTGCCCCTATGTGTATCTTTGGGAGATTGACAATTTTTTTATTTCTTTATTATTATTTTTATTTATTATTTTACATTTTTTAATATTTATTTTTGTTATTATTTTTTGTGTATTAGTTTAATTGTATACTCTTTATCTCATTTAATTTATTATAAAATTTTTATATGTATTTCTTTTTTATTTATTTTCCTTTTATTATTTATATTTTATTAATTCTTTTTTTATTATTTATCTTTATTTATTTATTTTATTTATAAATATTTATTATTAGTATTTCATTTTTCTTTCTATTCATTATCTTTATTCCATCTCTTCCTTTCTTTATCTATAGTTCTCTGTTATTTACGGAGATTTTGTATGCTTTAAACATACTTATGGTAAGACTTATTCGGCAGATGGCTTGGGGACGCATGGGTGATGTCGCTTTAGGTTTACAATATTCATAGCATACTCATGCGCATGTGCACACATTCATTTAGTGCTGTTCATGCGTATGCTCATGTGAACGGCTATTTTGTTTTTTTGGATGGCGCTCGCGCCGCTCCGTTGTTGGGACGCCCCCTTTGCGTTCCACAAGCCTCCCTGCATTCCACCTAACTGGAAGTCATTTTTATGCGCATTGAGAGGCGTTTACTCTCTTAACTACAGATTCTTACATTTATTATTTTTATATTTATATTTATATTTTCTTTTGTCTCTCCCACAGGGATGAGCCATGGATTATTGTATGTAATGTACTTATAGATGTTTTGTGTGATTTCTATATTTTGAGTTAATTGTTTATGTCAATGACTTTGTAACCATGTAACCTTCACTTAAGTTAATTATTGTTTGACCTTTTGCTATATATGCACTTATGTTGGCTTTGTGGTGTTAGCTTGAAAAAGACCTCGTGGTAGGTTGAAACTTTGCTGCCCTTTTTTTGTTCCATTAAATCTGCCTGCGGCATCGAACACTTTGAGTGCCTGGTGAACTTTTTTGTTGCCTTAATTTGATAGGATTGCTGGTCCTGCTCCAAAGCACCGGTGGCTGCTGGGATTGATTGTGGTTCTTATAATCACTTTTGCAATATACCCAGACTGGAAATCAAGTGTAGATTGATGCCTCCCCTTTCCCCCCATCACCCAGCCTGACAAACACACACACACACACACACACATTTTACTTTTTATATTTGCAGCCACCCTCCTGTTATCTTACCTTTGTGTCCAGGAGGGTTGGTTGCTTGGAGTTCTGGTGCTGGCTGAGTCTGATGGGAGTGAACAAGCAGCAGCTCACTACAGCCTCTCCTCTGCCTCCATGCTCCCGATACAGCCGCTGCCTCCTGCCACTGTAAAGCAGGAAGAAAGTGACAGGCTGTCACCTCCTCCCTGCCTGCTGTTATCACAAGGGACCGGTCATTTCTTAAAGGGCCGGGCCTCGGTTTAGTTAATATTGGGGGTAGGGGGCACAAATCACATGCAATATCCATAAATGACATACACACACACACATATTCTGACAGTGTATGTTAGATTGTGTGATTTCCAGGATATTGTATGTGGTTTGCAGGTGTCGGAGAGCCGCATCCATAACGCGGGAGTCTCACGGAACTTTCTGCCCTACACCACAAACAGGCCTGTCTCTACACCCCCAGAATTATCCCCTCAAGTAGCCTCCCTCTCCACACACAACTCTATATACTTAAATCCGCAAGCAGCATCCGAATGCATACAATACTACAGGCTTCTCTCCACATACACTCGAACACACAACACTCTTTCCCCCTTTTTTATCCTCTGGTATTCCACATATGGAGACAAGTCACAAACAAACACTAAACAACTTTGTCGCTAAAAGGGAGTATCAAAATGAAGTTGTTTTGGTGCCAGGAGTCCCTAAGGGCACAATTTAACCACTTTGTGGTTAACCACAAAGCTTCCTCCAACAGAGATTTCCACTCACCCCTAGGTGGCATCTTGCTTCTGAATTTTTAGATTAGGGCGCCACTGATTGGCTGAGAGCGGTCAGCTGACACACTCTGCCTATCAATGACTCTCACTTCACTATATTGTCTTGGAAAGAAACGTACTGCTCTAAGCCAATTAGCAGCGCCTCTGCCGGTGGGCACTCCAAGCTTCCTGAATCTAAAAATCCAGAAGCCTGGGGGTGGGGGTAGGGGGTGGACATCACTGGAGGCAACTTTGGAGTTAAACCATTTGAGAAACCCTCCTTAGATGAAGTTGTATTGGTGCCTAGAGTGTCCTTTTAAATTCACTTGTGTTGTCCTTAACGTACACAGGTTTTTTTTCTACATATGAGAGGCCTGTAGCAGGGCTTTGTGTATGGGCTGCCCAGTTAAGGTTGCCACCTGGCCCGTATTTTAACGGCAAAGCTGGTATTTGGTGCTGTGTGGCCAGTGCCGGTATCACAAAAATACCAACAATGCAAATGCTGGTATTTTGCTGACAAAAGAAAGTACTGCAATACAGGCCACCACCGGCGTGTGCAGTGATCTCAGGTAGGAAGACTCGTTGGTGCTTGAGTTGTGTGTGGGTTAGGAGGGCAGAGATTTAAGTCACAGCATGTCCCTGCCCTATTCACTGACAGAATCTGCATGGAAGGAGAGAGAGGAGATACAGACCAAGCTGCATGAGAGGAGTGGGAGGAGTAGCAGGAATTGATAACAGGTATGTGAGTATGGATTCAGCAGTTTGTCTGTGTGTGTATGTATTTAGCAGTCTGTATGTATTTAACAGTCTCTGTGTGTATATTCAGCAGTCTGTGTATTTAGGAGTCAGTGTGTGTATTCTGCAGTTTGTGTTTGCATTCAGAAGTCTGTGTTGGTATTTAACAGTCTCTGTGTGTATTCTGCAATGTGTGTGTGTGTGTGTGTGTGTATTCAGTAGTCTCTGTGAGTGTGTATAATCAGCAGTCTCTTTGTGTGTAATCAGCAGTCTGATGAGAGAATGGTGAGAGAAAGAGAACCAAAATATCCACCTTTGTTATAAATGGCATGTACATGCATTGTTTTATACTATATACACACACTATAACGAACACAGACATAATAGACACACACTCAGACAACAGTATGCAAACACTGTTATACACATTTAGACAATGAAACACTGTTATACACAAACTATTATACACACCCATTCTGACAGTATATACACACACACACACACACTTCCTCACATTCACAATGATATATGCACAGTCAAAGTATACACAATGTAAGTAGTTTATTAGCAATTTAGGGAATTTTCTCCTTTCAAATGTTCTTATTCTCTTTTGTGTGTTGTGTCCTGTGATGTCACATATATATAATTAATTATGCAAATAAAAAAAAACAAACAAATAGCAAAAACCAGGATCGGTTATGAGGGAAAGAAGAAACCCAGTATTACTACTTGTGTCTCTCCTTCCCAAGCGAGCCTGTGCACCAATGAGAAACTACAGGGGTCTCTTAGGGCTTAACCCTAGCTATACAGGATAAAGAACAAAAAAAGCACACTATTCACCGAAGTGAAAATTGTGTACTGCCTAGAAATAACAATACCAAATGGATGTTACAAATAAATCTTAAACATAACAATGTAGCAAACAAAAATGTAACAAAGATAGATCTTCGTGTGATTGTGTATTAATGCCAGCCTTATAAGGCTACTCCTATGCCGTAGTGGAGCTAGCAAATAGCAAAATAAATAATGGGGGGCAGGACCAAGAAGCACTTATGGAAAAATATACATATATATAAAACCGGCTTTATTACAAATGGCCAATCCATATAGTGTTATTCATATATAATTATTGGTGGTGTCCCCTGAAGTTAGAGGGGGTAGTAATGCTCCATGCTTGTAAATCGAGCTATAAAGAAAAAACTACCTAAAGAAAAAAGGTAAAAGTATATTAGAAGCAGCCTCTCTCCCTTTAAATCTAACTAGACAGTCATAGGAGAAAAGTAGAAATAAAGGTAAGATAGTTATAAACATGATGTCAAACTAGTGAAATACAAAGGTGAAGTGCTCAAAAACAAACAACCAAAACCAATAACCCAACGCGTGTTTCGATGCAGAACTACATGCACCTTTGTCAGTTGCAAAAGATCAACTGACAAAGATGGCTATTTTATCGGTGTATCCCACCTGGATCCAATTAGTATAATCCAATAGTGGAGTCACACGTCATCCGGGGGGCATGACTATAGATGATGCAGTGTTATACTGAAAAATGCCCACAAATCGATGTAGTCCAATCCCAGGCTAGTAGGGGAAGTGTCTAAGTGTACCGATATATATCTATGTAACCCAAAGTAAGGGAATACCTATGACAATAATGGTATACCGATGCCCATATTAAAATGCAGCAGGAATTGTATATAATTTTAATGCATAAAAGACCTTCCAGCCTTCAAATATCACTTCGGTATGATAGGCATGAAAGGAGACGTATGTACATCCCTGAGAGCCATAGGTATGACAGTTTGATCCATTCCACAGGCAATGTTTAT